TATTTTTTATGTGGCGCTTTGGCGCGCACAAAAAGCACCGCCAGAGGAAAAGTTTGCCAGCAATGAATCAGTTTGAGCACGAGAGCATCATTTATGATGTCGCAGGGAAGTCTCAACTAACAACTCCATTCAATTTATGTTTATCCACTCGCACACACACACTCGTCGCACCTTTTCACTCACGGAAAAAGTCACCAATTGCCACTTCCGGGAGCTTTCACGGCACGTGTTGCGAGCTTTTGACGCCGCGCACGGTCGAGAGGCCATTTGTTCTCAATTTACACACGAAGAGGTCAAGGATTGCGCCTCAGGATGTCGAGCCTTGGAAGCACTCACACTCGGAAGGAACTGCCAAGCGAAAGGAAGAGAATTACTTGAATCACTTCAGGCACTTCAACAGTGACTCCAAAAGTGTCTTTTTCTGCACTTTCTCCAGACTTCTTGAACGAAACTTTCTACATTCATGGCTAATTTCACTGTTGTTCCGAAGAAACTTGGATTGATCCTAGTTTCAGCCTAATTTTCAATCTATTTTCTCACAGGATTCAATCTGTTGAACATGCTATATTTAATATTTCCTTAATTAACAGTTGAATTTTGCATATCCAACATATAGAATTGTGTCTGCGAGTGACAGAAGCATTTGATCGATCGTCAGAATTAATCTGTTACTCGTAATGAAGTTTCAGTAATAATTTGTGCAGAGATTTCCTATGAAATCGTCATGAAGCTTTCAAATTCTCATGACTTGGAAATGAGAAAATAAGGCCAGAAGTGTTGTACAGATCTGAGGAAGTTTCAGGAAGTGTTCAAGTATTTTTACTTAAAGAAAATCGTGATTTTGATCAAGAAAAATAGGCAAAAGTGCAATTTTGCCAGAAGAAAATCATAAAATATTGTATGAAAACCGTTTCTAAAGTAGACAGATGAATTTAATTTAGTTTATGGATAATTCTCTGTATTATAAAACTAGAAAATAAATTGCAGCTTCACTAATCTTGACCTCATTTCTCGTTTCCTTCGAAGTATTTTCAAGGAATTTAAGAAAATATTCAGGATTTTTTATACGATTTGTGAATCAATTCTTATCTAAATCGAGGAAATTTAGTAGAATTTCGCAATTTCACTCATTGAAAATTGTGATTCTGAAAGCTAAGAGAGTTTAAAGTGAAAATAACCTCAAATATTCCTGTTCACAACACTAAATTTCAAGCTATAAAGAGCAGAAAATCATCAAATATTGTATTAAAGTGTCTTTAAAAATTCCGAAAATCAGAGTTTAATCATTGTCAGTTTGATTTTGGTTAGATTTCAAATTAAGTTGATTTTGGTCTTATTTTAAACAATAAATGTTAAAGACTTTTCACGCAAAATTGCAGAAGATTGAATGCTTATTATCTTGCCCTTGATTTACACATTTTACAGACGATTTTTGCAGTCTTGAGAAGAATTGCTAAGACGTGAATTAGATGTGATTTTGGGGGGAAAATTCAAACACATACTAATCTGTACACAATTTCCTGCCACAATGTCTTCCTCCTTGGCTACAATCGCCGACATCTACTCAAGTCTGACGGCCTGCAAAGCTCACAGAGTGTATATAATCGAGTGGAGTGGCAAAGCTCGCTTCTGTGCAACAGAGTCAGTCGATTAAGAAAGTTTCCCGTTCAAACATGCACACACAGCTTCATATTGCATTCGTGTCGCCCAATAAATTCTGATTATTCGGGGTGGAATCTAACAAGTGTATACAACGGAGATCAAGTGTATTATGGTTGGCTTAAGTTCCGCAACTTCATTATTTTCACGGGGTGCGCTGTTTCGCACACAGCGTTCCAAGGGGTGTGGGGCGCTCGCCCCAAACTCGCCCCTGCAAACTTTTCAATGCTTCTTCGCTCATGGGTGCCAAGAGTGGGTGTCGCAGTGCATAAAATATTCCTCCGTGTCACTTATCGCCAAAGGACATCAGCTGTTAGGGAGTGAATTGAAAATAAAAAGGGGGAAAAAAGGCCACCCCAAAACAGACTCTGCTGATGATAAAACTTTACATGTTTGTTTATTTCTCTCCCCCGGAAAAGCTCTGCATGCGGTGTTACTTTTGGCAACTTCCGAACGCGTAGAAGATTGTATTTTTTCCATGGAGAAACTAACTCTCGATTTGAGACCATTAACTGTGTGAATATTCAATCATTTCTTGATTAATTCGTGATTTTATATTCAAATTTTGATTTTTCCACACAAATTTCAATTATTTTTTAATTGTTTTGTTATTTTAATGCAAATTTTGATTTTTTTTTTCATACAAAAAACAATTTTTTTGTGATTTTTATGCAAATTTTGATTTTTTTTCACACAAATTTCAATTATTTTTTGATTATTTCGTGATTTTTATTCAATTTATGATTTTTTTTCATACTAATTTCAATTATATTTTAATTGTTTTGTTATTTTAATGTAAATTTTGATTTTTTTCATACAAATTTCAATTTTTTGTGATTTTTATGCAAATTTTGGTTTTTCCATACAATTTTCAATTATTTTTTGACCATTTCGTGATTTTTATTCAATTTTTGATTTCTTTTATTCAAATTTCAATTATTTTAAAAATTATTTTGAGATTTTTTTTCAATTTCATTTTTTTTTTAAATTTTTTCGTGGTTTATATTCAAATTTTATTTTTTTTTTCATATTGTCGATCATTTTTTGATTTTTCGTGATTTTTTATACAAATTTCTATCATTTTTTGATTTTTTCATACAATAAATTCAATTATTTTTTGATTTTTCAAGCAAAAGTTCAATATTTAGCAATTTTGCTTGAAAAATAGTAATTTTTTGATCACTTTAGAGACCAATTATTTTCCTCAGAAATCGTCTTGTGACTTTTGTCCCTTGTATTTTTCCGAGTGAATAAAATGCCGCCACAAATCCCATGAGAAATCGCATTTTGTGTACTTTTTATTAATAAATTTATTATATATATTATTTCAATTCAAGTGAAAATGCAGAATTTATTCATAATGACTATTGAATTTGACAATAAATTGCTAAAAGTATTACAGTTTAATTTCCACAGCATTGTTTAAGAGTATATTGAATACTTTTGGCATACATTTTTTAAGCTCTAAAAGCACATTACGTGCGGTCATTGCGTAATTAAACAGAGCTTTGATAAATTGAAATTGTTTTTTCATTATTTCAAAGAGTATAATTAAACCGAATGGAAATAAACTCTTTTAGAACATAATATTTATTCTGGGGCAATTGCGCAACATAACATAAACATATATAGTGTCGCTCTTTTTTTTTTGTCTCCTTTTGGCTCTTCGTGACACCACAAATATGATTTTGAGGTGCTCCCTTTTATCTCTCGAATCATATCAAGGCAAATTTAATTATGCTGTCGAAAAATAAGCGAAGAAAACACATCAAATTTCACATCCATAAACATGCCATTTTTCCTCGGCCAGCCCATGAAGAGAATATGCTTTTTATTCATCATCAAATGCACATTAAAGTCGAAGACATTAAGCGGTTGGAAGAGGCACAAATAGAATCATCCAATTATATTACCATATGAAAGCTCTGCGGCCGGAGCTTTTTTTTTCCCAGCCCTTCGATGGCGGTGACAAAACACACGGAGAATGGAGGATATATCGCAGGGTGATGAATATCTATTTAGGGGTGGAGAGAGAGAGAGAGAGGGCTGAATATAACGGCTCAATTGGGAAGTTGGATCATTGCAGAAGATGACAAATGGCATTATCAAAATTCTGCCAAACATCCTCGCCGGCTTTTGCCTCCATCTTCCTCTCCTTCTGGGGCTTGTTTATGCCGCAGAGCAGAGCAAAATGGTGATGTACAATATAGCCCTGGTAATCAAGGGTGATTTCGGATGAGAGATAATGCCCCAATGGAAAGAACTGATGCCATCTACTCAGCCCCAAACCACCCCCCGTCGCAGCCTCGGCCACGCAGGAGCCACAGAGGCGGCCATTATTGGGCGAGATATTATGAACTTTTTGGGCATTAGTTGCTCTTCTCTCCCCTCAGAGTGCGCTCAGTGAGCACCAAGGGGGAGATAATATGCCCTAAATCTTTACACCACTTCCAAACACTTCCACAGACACTTTCAGAACATCAGCATTGCTTAAAACATCAATTTTCCTTACTCTCTTCACCTTTTTCCATCCGCCTAAAGCATCATAACCTCAAACTTCAAAGTCCTTGATCCTGAAAACTTAGAGAAAAACAGGATTTTATGTATTATTTAAAGTTTCCAGTTGATATTTTCATGTGATTTAATTTTCAATCGCTCTTCTGGATGCAATTATCTTGAGATATTGAAAAGAATCCGTGAAAGAAACTTGTTTAGAGCTGAAATTTGCTATTTTACAGTAGAAATTCAATCAAAGAGCTCTTAAAATAGGCAATTTGGTATTGTGAAACAGTATTTTAGAGGTTATGATCAATCTTAGCACAATTAACACAGATTTTTTTCACATTTCATTATTATTTTGCCAGTAAATGCAAATTAATCCATCTTAGGTGCAAAAATGAATGATTTTGGAGGTTATTTAGTGACAAAGTTTGCCTTAAATTCATAACATTACCCAGAATGATGCAAAAAACAATTATTTTTCTCCAAGTATTGCGTTAATTTCACATCCAAAGTCTTCTATACAGTCATTTACTGCTGTTTATCAGTCACAAGCTCCGCCTATTGACATGCTCCGCCCATTTTTGATACGTAATAACGTAGAAATGTTACTGAATTCATGGCTTTAACGTCATTCAGTGAGCTTTTTGTTCAGGTTTCTTTGGCACAATGACGGAAATTGTCCTGGTCGAAAATAAGCTCTCTGAGCTTAGGACTTGGGGGTGAAGGAGGGGGTAAAAAACGTAGAAAGATGCAAAAAACAATTATTATTCTCCAATTATTGCGTTACTTCGACTTCCAAATGCTTCAACGGACTTGTACACTACAATATCTCCCCCTTGATGAGCTCAGAGGAGGCTCAAGAGGTCAATTCGCAGCCACAAATGGCACAACATAAGCGAAATCTCAGGGCTTTTGCAGGTGCGACTGAATGGCATCTCGAGAGCGGCCGCAAGGTAAACATTTCATTGAAAGTGCGGCGAGAATAATGGCGCCAACGTGTGGCAAAGGCTCTTCTGGGGTGATTAAATTTGGTGACACGCAATTCAATCAGGAAAATTGAAACCTCGAAGGCGGAAATAATGAAGCGAAGCCAAAACAACACACACACACCCAAATTCCAGTCTGAATTTAATTTCACGAGTTGAGGTACAACAATGAGAATCTTGTTTTCACAGTGCGTTGTTTGCAGGAGGAGGAAAATATGCCACACGGAGAGTTTTCTTGCGAAAACCCTGCGCTCGATGGTATCTCGGGCGCGGGTTGTGGGGAAGAATAACAAGAACCCCTAACGAGGGTCTGTCTTCCATTGATCAAAATGGCATCACAGCAGCGCGCACTGAGAGAAAAGTCGTGTGTTCTCTCATAATACACAACTTAAATATATACACAAAAGCTCATTATGTTCATGTGAACAATGGCAAGGATTGTTTCACAAGCAGTTCATGTCACAATATGCAATAAAGCTGCTTTGCAGAACACCGTTAATGTCGCGAGAATTCAAATTGGAGAATGAAAAGCATCCCAGCAAACCGTTGACTTCAAAAACAGCGTGTTTCTAAGCTGATTCACTGAGTAAAACTTATCACAATCAAGCAGTCTTCTTATCACCTCTTTACAGGACAATTTTAATCATTTTTTACTTCCTGCTAAGATATTGAGCGGACAAAAGCGCTTTTCTTAGCACATTTCTCAGCATCCGTCAGAAAAATGTTATAAATTGACAGATTTGCACTGTCAAAGGTTCTTTTTCAACAAATTTAGGTATTTTCCAAGTTATTTTATTGCTTTTATATATTTTTTAAGGTTATGTGATTCATTTAGGACAGATTTTGATGATTAAAACACCCTCAAAATTATAAACTTTGTGTTAATTCTGGGAATATTTCGCTTCTTCTTGGCAGAGTTGAGAATTTATGTTCGAAAAACATCATATTGATTGAGGAAAATCCTTAAAGTGAATCATAACCTCAAAAATGTCATTTCAGTTTGCAAAAATGTGTATTTTTTCTAGTTATTTTCGCAGTTTGTGCTTCCAAATTGGAAATTAAAATCTATTTTCTTGTAAAATCATTCCGCCTTGATATTAATTTATACATTTTCAAGTCTGAAAAGAATAAAATAATCCAAAAGGGATTTTTAAACCGAAGACAGAAGAACCTGAAATTGCTTGTCAGTCTAAAAAGCAATCTTTGATCTAAAACAAGCGCTTTTGCGAGCAGATTTTTGAGCACGGTGAAATTCTCACCTGAAAATGTTTTCGCTGGGATTTTCTTCTGTTCCGCTAAGCACTAAAGTGAATTGACCCGAAAATTCTTCTATCTTCACAGGAAATTGTATAAACTTCACAAGTTGCTAAAGAGCTTGTCAAAAAGCTCGCCATTTGTGCTTCTTAGGAGCAACAAAGGCAGGAATAATTGGATGAAATTGTGAGAATTTGTGACATTTTCTCGCAGTGCAGCACGATGAACCCTTTCTTATCCGCCCATCCGAGCCATCAGTGGCAGGGCAAATTATTTATTCATTAAAATGCTATTTATCCGAAACAAGTGTATTGTTCTCATGGGGAAATCCAAAAGGATCCACGGACTTATCCGCCACGAGTGTCTCTGCAGGCATTAGGCGAGCAGCGGAGAGGAATAGTTTGAAGGCACTCTCCCGCCCTGTCAAGTTTCTTATCTTATCCAAATGGTGACACATGCCAGGCAAACTACTTACACGTCTAATCTCCCCCTGCGAAGCCGTCATACAGACAATAAGCTCTCGCTCTCTTGTCGCTCTTTTTTTTCTCCTTCCCTCCGCCGCTGTGCTGAAGAATCTGCTGAGACGGCGGCAGAAGACATTGGGAGAAGAAGCGAAATTGTTTTCATATTTTGCCATATCGTGACATCTCCAGAAATGATATTTCCACCATATCACAGTTTTTTCCTCTCTTATCAATTCCCTCTTCGAGATTCTCGCGCACAATGTGAGAGTGAAAATGTTGAGCTTCAGCCTGTTTTACCTGATATTCACACGTCTATTTGATCCATTTTCCCCATACAAAAGGGATGTTCGTTGTATTAAGCGAGAGGATGAATTACATTGATTCGCTGGAAAACTATTTTCTCATCCCCTTTTTTCCATTCGCCCCGTTGAAAAGACGCAAGAGAATGCCAGCGAAGTCGCTTTTCTCAACGAAAGCACTCGCAATGATGAAGCCTTCAAGGGGTTGAAATGAAGTTTTGTGTGTATGTGGAAAATGTTGAAAAATGAATTCACATTTATCTTGACAATTGATTGCATTCACAAGAAATGCAATATTGAAAATGCACCCATTTTCCCAAGGGGGAAAAGAGTTTCGCATTGTGTGAACGTCGAGGGGTTGCTAATGTGGATTTTAAACGTCTCAGCATCCGTTTAAGATTTAGACATCTTAGAAAATATGCCCAAAATGACGGATTCGAGAATTCTGTGCGGGATTTAGAAGAAAAAGGAGTGAAAAATGAAGGAGAAATATAGATTTTAGGTGACAAATTTTAAGTCTGAAGATAGATTTTCACCCGTTTGGGGATCATAAGAATTCTATACTTTATGAAAAAAAAATGTATTTTTAAGGTAGAAAGAGTTTAAGAAAGATATTGAACGGTTAAAGGACTTTAAAGGCTTTTTCTTTACTCTCGACTAGAGATTTTCGTCGAAATACATAAATAAGAGGGTTTTTCCAGTTTCTCATTCGTTTTTGTCGTAAAACCTTGCGTAAAACCGTAAATATTCGATTAAAGATCAAATTTTTAAGCAATATTCTCTATTTATTTGTGTTTGCAAGCTTTTCAGCTAGGAAATAAGCTTTTTACCCTCTAAAAATTGTGCACAATTATTTTATAAATAAATTTTCAAAAGATATCAAGATCAAGGGGTAAAAACACAGGGCGATTTTTGAGAAAACTTAATGTTTTCTAATCAAATAATCAATTATTTGAGGAAAATAAGCAAAAAATATTGTTTTCCAAAGTATAATTATAAAAATAATATAAATATTCAAATTCTGTATTAAATAATCTAAAAAAAGGATTTTTTTTTCTCAAGATAAATAGCAAAATATTAAAATTTTGACTAAAATTTCCTCGCGACAATTGCGTCACTTTATGATCCTCTTGGTTTCGTCTCTCCAGTGATTGTTATCGGAAAATTGATCATGCAGGCCCTTTGGAAAGAGGAAAAGTTGGATTGGGATGATCCGCTTCCGGAACATATCAGTTCCCAATGGAAACAATTAGCCGAAGGTCTTCCAACCCTTCAGGAGATCACAGTTCAGCGCCCAATGTCGACTTTGACGTCTCCCAAGTCCACCGAGTTGCATGTCTTCTGCGACAGCAGCTCAGTTGCATACGGTGCCGTGGCTTATGTGGTCACAGAGGATGATATCCATGGTCGCCAGTCTCAGATTCTGATGGCAAAGTCGCGCATTGCTCCCACATCGTCGATCACCATCCCCAAAATGGAATTGTGTGCCGCAGCTCTAGGCTCTCAGTTGGCCCACAAGATCAGAAATGCTCTCTCAGTCACGGAATATTTCTTGTGGACAGACTCGACGATTGTTTTGGGGCAAATTAGATCAAACCGCATTAAATTTGACGTTTTCACCGCGCATAGAATCGCTGAGATTCTCAGACTGACGGACGTTTCGAAATGGCAGCACGTACCGGGAGCCTCAAATCCTGCGGACGTTGTATCGCGTGGTATGTTGCCCACAGAATTGAAAGGTTCATCTATATGGTGGACGGGCCCAGAGTTTTTGTTGGGTAAGGCCGAAAACTGGCCTCAAGACCCGTATAGTGTCACGCTCATTGCTTCGTCGACTGCCATTATCAATCAGGTCCCAGAAAGTCACATCCTTGATACCATCCTTGAAAGATCCAGCAGTTATCTGCGGATACAAAGAATCCTAGCATACGTGCTAAGAGTCCTGACAGGTTCGCCTAGTCGCATTAGAGGTCCCATTACATCCCAAGAACTCCTAAAATCAGAGCACAAACTAGTATCTTTTGCACAAGCTCAACACTTGGCAGAAGTGAGATCAGCCATTGCCGATGGCACCATGTGGACCAGCAGGAGGTTCGCCCATGTGCGCCACTTGACTCCCTTCATTGATGGAGAGGGAATCATCAGAGTGGGTGGCCGACTGGCTCAATCGCCTGCAAACTACGATGCCCGCCATCCAATTCTTCTGCCCAAGTGTCGCCTCGCCACGATCATCGCCACCCACACACACAAGAACAACATGCACGCGGGACCACAACTGCTTCTGGCCACTCTGCGTCAGAAATATTGGCCGCTGGGAGGAAGAAATCTGACCAGAAACGTCGCTCGCTCATGTGTTGTGTGCTGGAAAACCAAGCCGATCCGACAGGAGCAGAGAATGGGAGATCTTCCCACGAGTAGGACAGATCACGTGGCTCCATTCAAAGTGTGTGGCATCGATTTCTGCGGCCCAGTCCTCACGCGTCCTAGCTACAAGAGAGGAGGTACATCATATAAGACGTACATTTGCGCCTTTGTCTGCTTCACGACGAAAGCCATTCAACTGGAAGTTGTCGGCAGTCTCTCATCCGAGGGCTTCGTCGCTGCGCTGCGGAGATTCGCGGCCAGGAGAGCTGCTCCAAGCGACATCTTCTGCGATAATGCCACCAATTTTCGCGGAGCCAGCGCAGAGTTGGCAAAGTTCCTGCGAGACATCCAGTCATCGCCAGACGTTGTTTTAGAGGCAGCTCCCAAGGGCATCAATTGGCACTTCGCGCCACCAAGATCTCCTCATCATGGCGGACTTTATGAGGCGGCGATCAAGTCCCTCAAACATCACTTAGCCAGAGAAGTTGGACAGACTATTCTCACATTTGAGGAGTTGAACACCATCGTAGCACAGATCGAAGCCATCCTCAATAGCAGACCAATCACGCCACTCTCCGAGGATCCAAATGAGATGTTCGCATTGACTCCTGGTCACTTTTTAGTGGGACGCCCACTGAACGCGCTCCCGGATCAGACGCTCACAGATGTTGCGCCAAATCGCCTCTCCAGATGGCAACTTTGCCAGAAGATTCTGCAGCACTTCGCCCATCGTTGGAGGAAAGAATATCTCCATCTTCTTCAGAAGAGAGTCAAATGGACGCAGGAAGCGGACAACTTGAAGATTGGAGACATCGTTCTCATCGGCGACGATTCAATGGCCACACATCAATGGCCAATGGGCATCATCGAGGAGCTTCATCCGGGCAGAGATGGACGATGCAGAGTCGTCACGATCAGGACAGCAAGGGGCAAATACAAAAGGGCAGTTCAGAGACTGTCCAAATTGCCCATCGAGGGACTCCCGCCCTCATCATCGGCCCCCCCAGGATGTTGACGCATTTCAGTGCAGAAATATCGTCGAATGCGCTTCACGCCATAGAGATAAGACCAAACCAGTTCCTTATCAAGTCCCGCTCGGGCACCAAAATTTAATCTAATTGCCTCCTGTGTAATTTCTACTTTCTTCACTCTTAACCAGACAGTCCAACTGATAACATCGTGATTTATACAATTTATTGAGTTAATTAAATTCCAAGTCAGAAACTTTGCCATTTGAAGTGTAGAAATTTGCAATACAAGTAGTTTAAGTGAAGTGCAAAAGTCTATTTTTTTCACCTCCGCCGCTCATCATTTTCGTCTCCGCCGTCAGTCAAGCTGTGCCACCAGAGGGGGAGAAAAATTTTTGCCCTCCGAGCCACATAGGCTAATAAGTGAACAATTGCAGGTTGGTGCCCATCCAATATTCAAGAAATAATCCAAAAAATGATTGAAATTTGTATGAAATAAGCAAGAGTGACTTTTTTTCCTTGTGACAAGATAAAATATCAATTTCTTTTTCACGAATAATCGCACGAAATTGCTCAACGATGAAAGGAATCGAATGAAATGGAATTCAAATTTGCATCCCCAATATTAGCAACCCCTTTGGTGAAGTGGAAGCCAAAAAAAAGAGAGAGACAGAATGAGTTGTTCTTGATATTTCCTTGTCACTTTATTTACAAATCTTACTTGGTGTATCATTATAATGGGGTTGGCACCCTCGTGAGTTGCCATTCATGTGGTGTTTTGTGGGTAATTCAGTACAATCGGTAATGGGTGAAAATGTCTCACTCACAGAACGTCCGTAACAGATAGAAAATTCAACTTGCAATCTGTCCTCCCTAATGATTCGTCCAGAGATTCATCGCCTGAGCTTTTTGCACGGCGACGATGCATTTGCGCTTCCGTGTGATGTCATCAGTGCCCAGGAATCATTTGTTAGGACGACGAGGACACGCGATGTTAGCACTGCCAGCGCCGGGACTGATGGACGAGGAGAGTGGCAACACCTCGGCGTGATGTGATTTGTGTGTCTTGCCAACCGAAAAGTCCTCTTCCGCTTTGTTTTCATGAATTAAATTGTGTTAGTACATGTAATACATAACCTTCCATGCTGTTATATACAATAGATAGTACTTTATACAAGTACGCGCCGTGCGACGCACGCTCTAAGAACTCCTCGCACACACTCTATCCTAAAGTAGCCTGCCAGCCTGCCTCCGGAGGTCAGCCCGGCCGGAGGTCAGCGGGGGAAATCAACCACTGTACAACCAACGTATCACTTTGCCAGAACAGAGCGCAATTCACAGCAGGGCGGCGAGGAGGTGTCACGTCTTGAACATCGCCACTGATATAATGACTGCGGACGCAATCAAGTCGCTGTACTTCGTGCTGGAGGCCGACGTGATGGCCGACGCGGAGTATTCGCCTGTCGGGACACAAACGGAGGGCTTTAGTGAATTGATCCGCGCCGCGACGCGCGGGGGTTGAAAGCTCACCGTTAATGACATGCACCATTATAGTGAGGGCCTCACTGTTGGACGGGCTGCAGGTGTAGTTGCCCGAGTCACGTTTCCGTGCCACATTGATGATTAGCGATCCCACCTGGAAAGGTGAGCGCGCGTGTGTCAGATTACTCTCTCTCTCTTGCGCTCGTCAAATTAATCCGCACTCACCGTGGTGTGATTGCCCATTTCGGGATCAAGAAACTCACGCTCCATCTGAATCTTCCAGCCACGCTTGTTGTCCTGGTAGATCTGCTGGATGCCGAAGAACCACATGATATACGACGGTGGCTCCAGGGCGCCACGAACTAAGCAGCGCAGTATCACTTTGCTCCCCGCCTTCACGTATCGCACTGCATCGCCCACCAATTCAGTCCGCGGCACTGAAAAAGACCCAACAAACACTCATGAATCACCGCCAGAGCGGCAGAGCTCCAAGGATGCGGCGCTGAATCAGGACGAGAAGTCTCTTCAAGAGAAATTGCAAGAGTTCTCGCAAGATATTTATGTAAAATAAAACTCATGAATTTAACTCTATTCAGTTAGCATGAAGAATCCAAAAAATACAGCGATTCCCACTAAAACGAGGACTGTTAAGCATGTGTTATATTATAGTTTTTAACCTTTGAATCAGTTTTTGCTCTATTCCGAGACTCACGAAAGAACTTAAATTTCTCCATTTGAGTTATTTGCAACTCTGTTTAAGTCAATTTGTACCGCCTGAATGTGTTATTTACTTATTTTTTACTTGTGTTTTAAAAATTTTTGGCAAATTTCAACATTTTTCACCTGTTTTTCTTATTCACTCAGAAAGTTACTCAGTTTGAGCAGGAATCGCTCCTAAAATTTACGTAGTTTTTGCGCAAATCCTATTAAAAACAGTTGAAAACGTGCTCAGACAGAAGTGATATGTTCTAGAAAGTTGTAGGCCATCTTTTTCCCTTTCCAAAGCGCTATTATTCATCAGAATCCGACAACAAATAGCGTTTTTATGAATATTTTTAGTAAATTATGCATGCAATATGAAAACATTCATTAATTGCAAAAAGTGGCCAGGAACACCATCTGGCGGTCAATTGGTGACCTTGGTATGTTCTAGAGAGTTGTAGGCCATCTTTTACCCTTTCTAAAACGCTATTATACTTAAGAATCCGTTAAAAAATAACGTCACTATGAATATTTAAAGTGAATAATGCATAAAATGTGAAAATATGCTTTAATCGTAAAAACTAGCTAAGAACACCGCCTAACAGTCACTTGGTGACCTTGGTATGTTCTAGAGAGTTGTAGGCTGAGAAGTCAGCTTTCCAAAACCGTGCTATTTTTGAAAATCGGACGAGAACTTTGGAAGATACGGAGGAATGTCCGCCTTGCAAATTGCTCGAATGCGCTAAAAGCTCCGCAGCGACCTTTCTCAGTGACTGACAACCTGTCGGTCAGTGGGTCAGGTGATGGCGCCTGAAACTCACCCACAACGTTGAGGTGAACTTGAGCGCTGATCTTTGGCTCGGTGGAGACTTGGCACTCGTACACGCCGGCATCGCGCGCCTGAACGTACTTGATTTGCAGCGTCCAGACGCTCGTGCTCTCGACGTAGTGCGACTGGAAGCGCTCGTCGGCGATGAAAGTCATCCGGTCGACGCTCAAGATGTGGTCGTCACGCACGCGGACCCACGAGACGGATTTGTTGCCCAGCTGCTTCATCTGCAATTGGCCGGGAATCGTCAACTGTGCGCCAGTTGACACACAATCCTTCACACATTTGGCGGGAAATGTGCAGCGACTCACCTTGCACGGCAGATACGCGTGCGTTCCGACCTGTGTCGTCACGTTGGTGATGTCGTGATCACTGAGATATGGTCCTGTGTGCGCCTCCACGTCCATCTGGCTCTCCGTGGGATTGGCGTCTGCAAAGAAAAGCGCACGCAAACTTGGTGAAATTTCCACTACAAACGGCGAAAAAAGTTCAAAATGCATCGATTTGGCGTGTCGACAGTCTTGGCTCATCTCCATCTGGCATGTAATCTGTCCCGAATCAGCCAAAGTCCACCCACTTTTCGCCGGCCAAGCACTTGATTATGCTCTGTGCCCGAATTTAGAGCCAATTTGCACCAGACGTGTTCTGAATACCATCCCAATTTGAAATCTATGCCCAAATAGAGCGCACATATCAAGGGGGAGATAATACAGTCAGAAGTGGTGTACAGTTTAATAGAAGTACTTAAGAAGTGGAAGTGTTGAAAAATCTACAATATTCCTTTCCTGCGTGATTATTTTCCCGATAAATCGTCCAGATTCTCTGAATTTCCTTCGATTTTCACGCAGAAACAAACGTAAGAATCTTTTTTCTAGGTTATGTAAGAAATTAAGGACAGATTTAGTGAATAATTCGCATTCTAGCACATAAAATCTTCTAGTTCTTGGCTTAATGAGACATTTTCAAGCAATTAACAGTGCTTTTTTGTTCCTTTGATGCCAAGAAACACTGCAAATTGTGCTAAAACTGAACATAACCTCAAAATTAGTCATTTGGACTTGGAAAATGTCCATTTAGACAACTTTCTGGGCAATTTTGACGGTGAATCAGCAATTATAAGGTCATTGGCAAATCATAAGAGATGTTTTTGTGATCTGGAAAGCTTTCGAATGGAGTTTTTGAGGTTATGATCAGAAAACATGTCTCAAAACAGTGGTTTTAAGTCGATTTTTATAGAAACATCGAATGAAACTTCAAGAGATTCATTATTTTTGGAAATTAATGCGGAAAAAGACTACAAATTTCATATTCTAGAAGTGTCAAGCAATTTTGGAAGTGTTTGGAAATTGTGTACAGATTGAAGGCATATTATCTCCCCCTTGGTATATATATAGAGCATTTTTCTCCCATCACTTCGGGGGTGCTGCGCCCCTTCTAAAATGCCCATTTGCCGGGGGGGGGCAATTAATTGGGGGCACAGAAATTATCTCCGCCATTCTCTCGAGTCACATTTGGAGGGATTAATTGAAAATACACTCCGTCGTTTCGCACTCCAATTGCAGGCCATTCCCGAGGCCCCCATTTTCCCGGTGGGAAAGGCGAGAAAGGGAGGCGTTTCCACTGGAGTTCACACGCATAAAATTATTAATTTTATCGAGGCACACTCGCAACTGCTCTGTGAAATATATCGTGAGATGATATAGCCCAGGAAATATGCAAAGACCTCCAGAGCTAATAAAAATTCCCTCCATGGGAGTTTAATTTTCCAAAATCATGCGCCACCCCAGCATAGATTGTGTGGCATTAAAATACTGGGCGGCATTTCGCACATAATTTCTGGCGGAGCTTCTGCCACTGTTCCCAGGGCGTTTGCCTAATTGCTCTGCGTCTCGGGCACATTAAGCGTCAAATGATATCAACATTAGATCCACTCCGGGTATCTTATGAGATCGGTAAAGTGATACAGAAGAAGTTGAGTAATTTAATTCCTCTATTATCGTTCAACATTGCCCTATTACAAGTGACAAGACAGTGTAAAAGTGTGCCACGATGTTTGCCATTTACATACAATGCGTCGCAATGTTTGAGGTTTTTGTACATTTCGTGGAATTTAGAAGAAAAATAGAATGTCGGAAAAATCAAGGGGGAGAAAAACACTCATTTAAGACACTTTAAATGAAATTATTCACATTTCTTAGCAAAGTTGAGCATTTGTGATAAAGAAGATTAGAAAAAAATTATAAATTTCATTTGAATTTCGCTTTAAAAAATTTTTCACAGAATTAAAAATTGTCTTCAACCTATAAGAAGTATTCATCAAGTGAAAGTGTGTCAATATTTCCTTGTTGTTGCTTCAATTTTAACATAAATTAGTGCAAATTTTGAATTTCTTTGCAGTATTAGCAAAAAATAAGGGTTCTTTGGATCCTTTCTAGGTTATGTGATTAAATTAAAGACAGAATTTGCCACTAAAAAACACTAAAAATCATTTAATCTTTGTGCATGATATTGAAATCTGATAAAGATAACAAGATTTCAACGTGAAGTTGTGTAAAATATGCTAAGATTGATCATAACCTCTAAAATACTGGTTCAGGATACAAAATAGTCTATTTAAGAGAACTTTCTGAGTGTCTTTCTTACTCTAAAATAGCAAATTTTAGCTTCTTTTTGATTCATAATTGTTAATTTTTCTTCAAATTTCCCCTTGGAAGGTTTCGAATACGTATTCTTTAAAGAATTTTTTAAGATAATTTTTAGGTTATGTACCAAAGTGTCTTCAAAAGAAGGATTGCAAATTGAATCACATCAAAATATCTACTAGAAACATAAAATATTTCTTCAAAGTTAGTGTTTTTTTTAATTTTTTCAGGGTTTGTACGAGTTATTTTGGGTGTTTTTAAGCCAAGAACTTCTAAATTTAAGGTTATGATACTTTAGACAATTGAAAAAACCCTATGAAGTGAAGAAAATAGGAAAAAACCAAGGAGGAAACATGTTTTCAGCACTGCTGAAGTTCTGAAAGACTCTGTAATTCTCTCAGGATATTTGTGGAAAGATGTCAGAAAATGGTGTAAACTCTTTAGCCATATTATATTCCCCTTGGGAAAAATAGTGTTAAAGTCATTGAGAAATATTCACTGAATAAATATTGAGAAAACATGACAGGATTGTTAAGAAAAGCACTTTCGTTACAGGTTTTCCTTCTCAATTCTCTGTAGTGAAAAAATACATTGCATATGAAATATTAATCATGAACCACAGAGGCTTCAATTATTACACTTTTTTTGTGTGCAAAATGCCTCACAAATGCACAAAATACAATTTTTTGCTGTTGCTTCATAATTTCCATGCAATAGAGTTCAATTACATTTCCATTCGAATTGCGCTGTGACAAAGCTTTGTTCCCTTTGAATTTGTTGTTCTCTTTGATGTTAAAATTTCACTATGTATACCTGGGAACATTTATTGATTCGCAGCAGAATTTTGCAGACAGTGAAAATGTTCGTGGTGAAATCTTTCGCGCGCAAAGCTCAGTCAAACGTGCAGAAGAAGGAATTCGTGAGAGTGGCTTTTTGCACACCTGAGAAGGTGTTTGAGGCATTTTGGCCGACAATGGCATAATTATTGTTGACTGGCATTGTTGAGCGACGGCACAGGCACTCCATCATGAATTTGGGGGTGGGAATTTTATGCTACAATGGCTGTTATTTCAGTGGGCACCCCATAAAGTGGTGTTCTCCCCGCCCACGATAAGCTCATCTTGTTTGCTCTTTAGGACTCCGCAAACGCCAAGCGCCCATAAACTGATCCTCTTTCTCGTCCCCAGAACAAATGTCAACATGTAGCGACAATATAAAGTAAGTGCGCAAGAGTTGAGAACCGCGTGGCGAGACGAAATTGGCCAGTGCCCAGTTTTATACGGCATTATTCGGGCATTTATCCGGCGAGTCATAAATAAAGTCATGTGTACACATTTGCAAGACACCCCCAAAATATGCCACACTGTCTCTCACCCACTTCACGCGGGGCGAACGTGACGCCCCATTTGGGCAAATAAATTAACATAGTCGCAAACACAGTCAATCAGGGGTCAAGATTATGCCGATACGGCCATTGGGATCATAAATTTTTATGTTGACTCGAGCCCGATGGCCCAAAAATCAAGGGTGCGCCGATGGGGTTTCGAGTGGGGGTGTGGAATTTATTGGAATGGCAAATAATATGCTCAGTGAGCAAGTACTCATGCTTAAAGTCGTAAAGATTTCATTGTCACTGAAAGCTTTCACCTCATTTTCAGCATTCCCGCACACATCCTTTGGGGTCATTTCCAATTCAGGCACTCCACAGTGCCACAGCACATTGTTTGGGGACTTGCTCAAGACATCCCTCTAAATATCTAAACACCCACTTTGCAGTGAATTTGATAAATTGCCTATTAAACATGCAGAATTTGCAGCGGATTAATTTCTCCCCTTCTTGACAATTCAAATACACACCCTAAAAGCGCATCTTTAACACTTTTCACACTTTTCTACACACCAAAATAACATTCAAGAGTTTATAATTGGCTATGAAACATGACAAAAATGAACTGAAAGTGTAATTTTTTAATCGCAAAAGCTCAATTTTCACATGATAATGAAATTATTTCCAGTTTTAATGCAAAAATGTGTGTTTTTGAAGAGTATTTAATTACAAAAAAACTTGTTTTAAATCCATTAAATGTGGTAATTTGCTGCAAAAGAAGTTTTTGCAACAAGCAATAATCCAAATATTTCGCCCAAGGGGGAGATAATATGCCTGAAATCAGTACACTATTTCCGAACACTTCCAAATTTCACAATTATTAATTTAATATGAGTTTACACTCGATATTTCTACAAAAATCTACTTTTCACCGCTTTTTGGGTATCTTTTCCGATCATAACCTCAAAAATATAACCAAGAAATCTTGAAAAATTTCTCTAGGAAGTTTTCTAGATCACAAAATCATCTAATTATGATTCTGCAATGAACTCAAAATTGCTTATTCTGCGTCAAAATTGGGCAGAAAGTTTTCTAATTGAATAATTTACCGGTTCAAATGACTATTTTGAGGTTATGTTGAATCTTAGCACAATTTGCAGTGTTTCTTGGCATGGAAGGATAAAAAAGCACTATTAATTGCCTGCAAATGCTTAATTCTGCCAAAGAATGTAAGAAAAGACGTGTTAGAATTGCAAATTATTCACAAAATCTGTGCTTGATTCGCTACATAACCTAGAAAAAAGATTCTTACGTTTGTTTCTGCATGAAAACCGAAGGAAATCCAAAGAATCTGAGTGATTTGTCAGTAAAGGAAGCGTTCAGGAATGGAATATTGCATGTTTTTCAACACTTCCACTTGATTTCGCCCACTTTGCACCACAATATCTCCCCCTTTGGCATGGAGCTTTCGTGGCGCTCTTGTGACTTCGCCTAAGTCACCCCAAAATCAAATAGCGTCATTTAGAAATTCGACTGGCAAGACGCCCACTTCACAGCTAAATGCCCTTCATTATTCATGGTGGCTGATTTGTCATTCAAATGCAGTGGGAAAGCCAACGAGGCGTCGAAACCGAACAATTCCTATTAATTGTGAAGCGCTAAAAGCCCCCAAGGGTGTTCATATCTTCCACTTGAGCTGGCTCTCCCTTTCCGAATCCGAAGCTCTGCCACTTGAGAAATTCCCTTGTCCTATAAATTCAACACTGGCGGACAGACTTTCCGCCAGCAAATCACTCACACATTTTTCCTCCCCCTCAAAATATCTCAATGGAATTTAATTAAATTCCATCATGCGAATTGGGTATATATTGAGTGTATTCTCAGAAAATCATAAACCCAAACCCAAAAGCTTGAGCTTTTCAGCAAAACGCACAATGCTGAAAATTGACGAGCGCTCTTTGAACTCTTCTGTATGGTTTTGCAGCCATCGCAAATCGTGCGACTGACACAGAATTTAATATTTTAATGGAACGTAATCATCGATTAGCCCAGTTTCCGCGGAATATTTAATCTTTCCCTTTTGCCAATGGAAAATGCCTCTTTTTTTTCTCCCCCGTGCGCGCCATCGACAAAATGTATGCAAAATAATTGGATTACATATTCCTCCCTCTTTTTCCCAGAGAGAAACATACTTTTCCCCACTGAATGATTCATCATGCAGAATACATAAAAACACATCAATTTCGCCGCTCAATTCTGTCCAATTTTGAAGCAAACCTCCCACTTTTGGGGCTGCAATGCTTCGCTCAAGGGTGAAGTATTTCACCCTTGTTTAGTATAAAAGACTTTAAATTGAAAAATTAAGGGAAAGTATTAAAAATTAGTTTCTTACAACTTTTTTTTTCGATAAAATGTACTCAAAATCTATTTAAATTCGGCTTTTCTGTATTAATTTTGCCATATTTCAGTCAAAAATTCCAATAAATTACAATGAAATTAACTGAATGATTTACAAACTAATTATTATAGCCCAATTATTATCATTTTATCAAATTATTAGCGGATGTTTGATGTAAAATTCGATAAATTTCACAGCAAAATTAACGCTAAATTTTCAAGTCACTCTTCTAAAAATCAGCAATTTTGACTTTTTATAGTTCTTTATTCGCCCGACGAATTATAAATATTCAGAAGTGTTTAAAGAATCAATAAAAATAGTCAAAGAAACTCAAGAATATTTTTTCGTATTAAAAAAACTCTCTGTTTTTGGAGTGTTTTTCTTTGTTTTTCGGAATATTATTGATAATTTTTGCATCAAAATAGATTTAATTTAGAATTTTTTATTTTATTCAAGAATATTGATTGAAAATGCGTTTAAAAAAGAAAGATTCTCAGTAAAAATCCGTTCAATTTGAGGTTTAATCTAACAAAAAACAGTCTAGAAATGCCAAATGATGAATTGTTAATTGATTTCAGGGAAAATAATTCAGAAATTTGACATAAATACACAAATTATCTGCGGTGAAGCAGAAGAAAAACTCATTTTCTAATCGCTTTTTTGATTTCTTTGACTCTTCAAGTGATTTTTAACGTGAATTATTCATCGTTCAATGAAAACAGTCGCTTTTTCTGTTCTGCACAGAGAGAATTGCGGCCACATTATCTCCCCCTTGGCTTAGGTCGCCCACAAGACGCAGAGACAATCGAGTGGAGTGTGAGTAAATGGATTTATGGATGATATTGTCTTTAAGAGGAATAAATTAAATTCCCAACCATTTATTTACGGGCAATTAATTATCCATCGAATTTGCTTGATTGGAATAATAAATTCAATTTGCCAACATTATATCAACTCCGCGGATCCGCGCCAATTCCATTGGGGGATTTCGCCTCCACTTTCGCCAGAGCACAAAACTGCGGCAATAATTTGCAATTTGACTGTGCGGATGAAGAGAGCTGGAATGAATAAATTTCGCATTGCAATCTCTGGGAATCTCCATCCGGGAAAAAGCAATGGCATGTGAATCAAGATAAGGGGGTGAAAGTGGATTGTTTTGTGCGCGCCAGTAAATGGAATTTAATTTTAATTGATGAAGCTCAAAACTTTGCCCTCCAGCGTCACTGTTATGTTCTGTCGGTGAATTCCATAAAACATAGATTATCACGAGATATTGCCACTCGGACCAAAACTCATAAAACTTTCAATTTGGCGCCCCCAGAATTGCAAACACACACACACACCGGAAATCAGGCTTGAAATTCATGGACTCCGAATCCACGCGCGCTTTTTCACCGCATTTCCGCGTGTGTGTGTCGGAAAACTATGTATTTATGCCCACAAGGCCACAGATTAGCTTCAGCAGGAGCTTTCACGAGGGGGTGGAGATTGAAAAAGCTCACCTGTATTGAATAGCAACATCAGTACGATCAGACATTGTCCCACTTCCGACAGCATTTCGGTGGTTTTCTGCAAAGAAAGGGAATATTTATTGTCATGTCGAGGGTGATTAAGTCCCGAATTGGGTTTGAGGTTTAGCACTGAACTCCCCTAATAAACACCCCATCAATGCTATACTTCTTCCCCAAGAGATTGGAAAAGTGTGTGCGTGTGTCTCATTAAATCTCCCCTTTTTCCTGCAATGAACTTTAATGTTTTCGCAGGCTGCAAAATAATGATTTGCTACTTTCAAGGGGGAGATAATATAACTAACATCTGCACACCACTTCCTGACACTTCCACAAATTGTATGAAAAATCCTTAACACTTCTGAGAAGAGTCCGAATTGAATAAAAGCGATTACAGACTTGCTGATGATCCACGAATCGACGCGAACTCGGATCAATCCTCCGTGGATGAGCCTGTAGTGTGTAAAGGCTTTGTCGACACTAGCGACACTGTGTTTGGTGTGTTCAGCTGTCAGTTAATTTGCATACTTCAAAAGAGTGAAATTTTACGTTAAAATTGCGAAAATTGATGATTCGCAGAAGAATTTAATTAAAATCATTTGCAAGAAATCCGCCATTTTGCGCCTTTTCTGGGTCATGCAATGTTTCGGCGCATTTTCGCACGAGCGCGCTGCCGTCGCGAACCCCTGAAAAATCGGCTGAACCTTCGATATATCGAGGGATATTCGCGTTTTCTGGCTAAGCGAACTGTCAGTCGAAGACACTCGCGCTCTCGCTTATCCTTCTGTGGATCATCAGCAAGTCTGCAATCGCTTTAAAATGATTAATTAACTGAATTTTGTCTATTTTGATGCTAATTTTGGCGTTATCACCCTGAAAATAACCTACAAATCAACTGAAATCTAACTCAAATCTAACTAATGAACTTTCTAACCTTTATATTTGATGTTTCCAGGTAATTTTAATGGTTTTTCTTCTTCTGAGAATCAAATATAACCTCAATTAGTCGCTCAATTAGAATCTTTCTAGTTCAAAATTGCGACTTTAAGTACGGAAATTTCAGGTTATGTTTGATTTTGATTTGGTTTTTCGCATTCCATGATTCAGAATTGCTATTTTCATGAAGTTTAATTGTACAATTTTATTAATAAATGAAATATTTTCGTTTTCATTGCAAGAATAACTACTTTTATGTGTTGTTTTGTCATAAAACTCTGTCACATAACCTAGAAAAATATGTCAAAATGATCAAAATGCAGGCCTGAATTAGAGTTGATTTCTAAAAGTTAAATAATCCAGTGAAAATTGAAAATAATGATCCGAATTATTGCAATTTCATCAACATTTTCACTTCTTTGTGCTTCTGCTGAGCTGTAAACCATCTTCTGACCACAATATCTCCCCCTTGGCTATCTGTTTGATGGAGAAAAATCGCAAACAATGCAAATAGAGTGTATGTTGGGAATTATGACAAATATTTATCAATTCCAGCTCTCAATATTTGTCCAATAAAATTGTGGAGTTTATTTACAGACAGTGTTGAATATAAATATAAAATATGAATTTCGAATTTCTAAAATTGATATTGCTGATCGATTGCACAGTGTTGAATAACAAGCGATAATTTCGCATGTTGTTTTTTTTTGCACCAGTGCGGCACAAAAAGGAAGAATTCACGCACCCTTTCGGAGCTTTTGGGCGATGTGGCGATGTAGATAGCATATATATATTTAAATGATGCTTATCGGAAATTACTGGATGTACGAATATGGCACATTCCGTATGCCGATTGCAATCGATTTGGAGGTATTTTGGCGCTAAAAGGCTGTGCGAGAAAAGTGAAAAGGAGAAAGTGGATGCGTGCCATTGTGGGGAAAATTGCCGGGTAGTTGCCGGATGTGGGCCAAAAACAGAGGCAATAGAGACTACAGGCTGTTATCACTGGAGATTTAAGACGCGCATTACTTCCCACCTTCAAACGTAAAGGCACATAATCGAATACGTGACTTGCGTGATTACGGCGCCAACGTGGATGATTCTGGTCCTCGATGGGAAGGAATCACCGAGACTTTCCTTATTTTTTCTTTTTTTGGGGAAGAAAACTTTCAAATTCCATCCTTGTTAGCCGCGGCAAAAAAGGAGTTCCTCGTCAACCAAGTCCCTCAATTTTCTTCCCTCAATGCATTAGAAGTCGCGGGATTTTGCCACTTTCACGCGGTTTTTTTTTTCTTCTTTCTCATCTTTTCTCAGGGGGTGTTTTTTTTTTACTTCTTCTTCATCTCTTCGTCGACATCAGAAGCCGCACGCGAAGTTTGGCGAAATGAATTTCATTCTGGGTGAGTCCTCAAGATGGATTTCATGGCGGATGGAGTGAAAAATCCATCCTCCTGGGATTCCATTATATTTCTTCCTTCATCCTCACGACGCAGCCTTGAACCTTGGGCGAAGGCGCAAAAAAATATTGCCGCAATAGATCGTTGGGAGTATCCAATGGTGGGTTTTTGCAGCTTAAACAGATGTGGACACTGCTTAGATGAAGATAACGCGCTGTCTTCTTAAAGCTTTAAAGCGTCTTCATTCTATTGAAGTGGGCGGAGCTTAAGAGTGGGCGGAGCTCTGGAGAATATTTCCCTTTCTCTCAGCATTTTCACGTGTTTGCCATTCCATCCAGATGATCATGTAATAAGACAAACAAATGCGGATTTCTCAGAAGGACACTCACCGACGTGCATTGAAGCTCTTCTCTTCTCCATATTTATTTATGTGTTGATTAAGAGATTCAGTCATAAGTAGTATGTTTGCTCATCTCAAACACCTCTCACGTAAATACACTTCATTCCGGGAATTCCGTCGTGTTATGTCAGAATTTAAATTCCTTCCAGGAATCTGTAAAGCTCATATTCATCTTCTATGTTCATCTCGAGTCCTCTTCAACTCTGGTCGTCACATGAAAATATGTGTCTGAGAATTTTTCTATACAATATTTAGGAGTATTTATTGATCTCTGCACCCGTAAATTCATTCCTTATCCCATCGCAGTGAGAGAGAGCGTGGTTCGGTGGGTGAGTCCTTAAATCCTCCACAGCGATGACGGTGGAAAGAAATACCTCGGAGAATTGAAAATGCCACAAGATAAACAAGTGAATTGGAAATTCACGGGGAATAAGGAAGTTGGAGATATGAATTCATGAAGCCATAACGAAATATTCTTGTTTTCCCGGGGCCCATTGTCTGTGCGACGGACGGGAGGGATGAAGTGTGACGCGCCCAAGGATTCTGTGGGCGGAAGTGAGACGGGATTTGGGGCTGGGATAGGACATGGGTACTCGAGGCCACCGATAGCAGAAGCCGAGGAGTGATAAATAATATGAGAAAATTCGGTCGTGCGCAACACAAAATGCCATCCGAAGGATATTATTGTCAAAATCACTATAGAAACATTGGCTATATTTTCCCACCCCCACCCCCTTCTGCGGAACACACGACCACTGTTCAAGCAAGAATTATCAGTAAATTATTTTTCCAAAAGCACCCCAGCCACAATAACAATGCATCCGAGGATGTTTTGGCAACGAGATTTGCATAAACTGACCATTGTGGCGACGATGCAAGCACTCTGAGAGCGAGACTCTCTCCACGTATAATTTGCAAATTCCCCAATTGTTTCGCATGCGAGATGCAAATTCAATGGTGTACATTTGCAATTTTCTTGTCTGACCCAAATAAACCCCTCAATTTGTACTTGATTAATCTCCAGTGTCGATCGATTTCATTCTGTGTTGCTGCGATGGCAAAACATATGCGCGCAACTCTCTCGGAAAAAGGGTGCGGGTTTTTGGAGGACAAAAACAGAGGGGTGCGATTTTCTACATGATTCCGCCATCGACAGCTAATCTCCGTGTCTCTCGATGAACTTGCACGGACATCACCGGCAATATTCCCCACACTCACCCCACAAAGTTTTCGGGGGGTGTTTTTGTGCGGGGAAAACATGTCGAAGGGTGAATGGAAAACTATGAAAAGTTTGATTCTTCATGTACAAAAATTTTGAGATTTTTATCTTATCAGACAATAGTAAAATATCTTATTTATCTAAAAAGCACAAATGGAAAAAATGTCATGTTTTACGAATTAAAATTCGAATATTCATTGTTTACGGTGAACAATTTTTTCCAAGAAAAACGCCTTTTCAGAAAATAATTATAGATTTTCAAAAATATCCTAAAATTGTTTTCTTGGGCTTTTAATGAATAATTCTCATATCTTTTAATGTTTTTTTAACTTGAAAACTTTAAAGAAAAGTCCAAAAAGTGTACAAATTTGATTTTTTTTTTGAGAACTTATTTGGATAAAATCGACTCTAAGATTTTTAAAAAATAGACTTTGGAAAGTAATATTTTTAGGATTTTCTATTAATTTTTGGCATATTTGAGTCAAAAATTCCAATAAATACCGATAAAAACAACTAAAATATTTACAAAACGAAAAATTCAGAGCAATATTTGTACTTTAACGGACGATTTGAAGATGTTTTGAGGGTTTTTGAGGTAAATTTGGCAAATTTCGCAACTGAATTAACGCTAAATTTTGAACTCGCTCTGCTGAAAAATGGCGATTTTGGCTTTTCATAGTTTTCGACTCACCCGTCGATTGTAGAATGCTCAAAAGCGAGCTTGTTTTTTTGCACAATTCCATCAAAACCATGGGAGAATGGCAAATGCATAAATCATGCGCTTCGATGGCAATTCCATCCCCAAAATACACACACACACACCACGCATAACTAGACATGCTTTTTTTCCGTTCCACCCCTTTGTGATTGGGGAATTGTGGCAAGTCTCAAAAATCTTCCGTGTACACTTTATGTGGCGGAAATTTTCAGATGCGCGGAAAAACATGGAGATGAATGGAAGTTTCTTTCGGGGGTTTGTGAAACTTTCTCATGAGGGTAAAACTTCAATAAATTCCACCCTGAATTCGAGTACACCCCCCCCCACATAGACTTTAAGGGGGTAATAGTTTTCCAAATGAGCGCTTTTTTCCACACTCCAGAAATGTCTTCTTCCGCGGCAACTCACGAAAAACTTTTTCCCAGCAATTTGTTAACAAGACCTAATTAAAAAGAAAATTTAAAGTCTGCCTTTTAACTCCATTCTTCCCTGGGAAATTTTTATGGCATTTAATTTAAATTTATGTGTATTTCTAACTTGTGAAAACTATTTTGTGTTTTTCTTCAAACTTCAGAGACATTTTGCGTGATCTGAAATCTTAAAGAAGGCGGTTAAAAAATTGAGTGAATTTGTGCCAATATTTTCGAAACAAAGTTACAATTTGTACATTAATATATTTCGTGTTGTTTTGCAGAATGTAATAAATTCCATTTTAAGTGTCTTCACGCTGAATTCTGCAAATTAAAGCTCTCGCCAAGGGGGAGATAAATAAAAGAAAAATTAGCAAGAATAAATATTATGAAAAATAGTCATTTTTCGTCGAAAATTCAATCATTATTTGAATTATTCTTGATTTTATCCTCTTGAAAATCAATTGACAATTTTATTCAAGGGATTTTTCAAACTTATCAATCAATATTATTGTGAAAATTTACTCTAAAACGCTAAAAAAATTGTTAACTCTTTAAGAAGCTCAAAAATTGGCAGATTTAATTTGAAAATAGATGAGAAAGAATCATAAAATGATAATTTCCCACATTTAAAAAACCTTAACAGAATTTTCAGTGCTTCTTATCTCCTTAAGATTTAGATATTTGCTCTCTTAGAGAAAGTTTTAATGTTTATGGAGGATTTTCCACTACTAAATCACACATAAAAGCGAAATATCTCCTCCTTGGCTCTTGCAGCCTCAGTGATTGCATCCCTTTTCGGGCAGAGTCATTAAGCAGTGGGGCGGAGCGCCACCCTTTGCGGGCCAAGAGCCCTAAATCAGGGTCGTTTCGGGGTGGCGAAATTAAAAGAAGAAATATTGCACCATAAAGCCCTCTCGGAAATGCCCCAAAGGCTCCGTTTCAGGGGTGGTGAAGCCGTCGGGAGGATGTAACAATTTGCTGGAGTACAATTTCGGTGTCTGTATCGCATCTCCGTGACTATTGCAGAAGTGCCAAAAAGCTCTCAGGCGCAGGCATCTATTTTCCTTGGGGGTCATCTTGAGATGGAGAGGCGAAGACGCTCGCATGATGATGAATATTATGGAACAAATTGAACCACTAATTCACCACAGGCCTCTCCTCGAGCTGATCCTCGGCTTCCTGACACCAGCCATTTGGGGCCCCCATGGATCGGCACTCCATGGAAAAATGTCCACATCATCCCTCTCTCTCTCTCACCCTGTGTGGGGCGAGAGGAGGTCGCGTGCCTGGCACAATATGCCGCAGGACGAGCGCAGGGATGAAAAGACAGAAAACGGCGACGAGCGGAATAAAAAATGAGGTTAGTATATCGCCCTGGCTCACTTAATATTCAGTCCATGATTCCGGGAAACAATGTTAGACTGTCTACCAAAAAAGAATAGACCGGAGGTGTGCTTTCATAAAGTCTCCTCTCTCTTCTTCGCTTCTCCTCTTCCTTTCTTCCTTCTCCTGCGCGCGAATCCCATCTCTATCTAATGTATCTCAACATGAAATAATTTTCCCTTTAGAGCGGGTGACTCGCTTTCTGGGGCGGGCGTTCTTGCGGGGAGGGTTGGGGGGTGGAAATCAACGGAGCTTGTGTAATTTTTCAAAAGAGGAAAACTCCACGGACAAAAGGGCGCACGTCTCATCCCGTGACAGACGCTGTCGACAGCTAAAAAGACATTGTAATTGTTTACCAATTTCCGGGTGTTTTCTCAGCCTCACCCCCTCCCCACGCCCCCCGTGAAAGGGATCCCCGCGCGCGCTTTTTGGGGCCCCAAAATTCCCCTCGGCGCCCAGGACGGAATTGGACAGCGGAAATTTTGACAGAATCATTAGTAAGAGTAGAATAAGAAACTCACAGCGGCTATTTATCATTTATTCCCGGCAAAATACAATTTTCCTCCTCTGTCTCTTCTGGGAAAAAGATACTCTGTTGGCCACCCATTCCACTCCATGTCATGTCTCTCCTCCACGTCTTATGACGCCCAACGAACGGAGAGAGGATCCTTCAGCTGACAGCCAAGGAGATGTTCTCAAGACCCGAGAAAATGGGTTTTTGCCTTTAAGACTGCCGCACGGTAATTTCTCTGCAATTAACCATTTCGCCGGAGCTTTGCAGCCTCAGGGCGAGCTTTCCATGAATTTTGTATCTCATCATTGAGTGCTTCAATTGCGCTTGGCAGTGCTCAAAAATCCCCATAGAATTTCAAATTTTACTCATTTAAAAGCATTTAAAACTATCGCTTGAGGAACTTCTTTTATCTTGTCTTTGATCGAGAAATTGGCCTTTTTTTCCCACGCGAATTGAGAAATTAAACTGCATCAAAGCTTCCACAGCTTGAAATTAAAATATTTATTCAGCTCAAACGCAACTGTGATAACAGAACAAACCGTGGGAGGCATTGAGAATGGAGATAAGACGCTTCGTGAGCTTCGCAAAGATCTTGGAAATGTTCCAGCAACAAAAGCTTCTGGCGATGGAGCTTTTTGTCTCTGCAGCTCCCAATAGATATCAATTGTGCTGCAATAATGCATTCTGTATCTCTTAAGCTTGTGACAACACAGCAAATGACCTTAATTTTGTGACTGAAGCAAGCGGGAAAAATGGAAAACCAGGTCATGATGAGGAATTATCTGGAAATTCTGTGCATACTTCATGAATTCTGCGAACCAAAAAGCTCAAGCCACAAAACCCTGTGGAGCTTAAGCCGTGTATGAAATTCTAATTCCCCTCCTCAAAAGCACTTCAGCGACAGCTCAGAAGCTCCCACAGTTTATTTCATCTGCAATTTCACCATAACTACACAAATTCCGCAGGCAAGTTGTTTACGCAAACGACGCTCACTTTTGAGTAATTTCGAGGGGGGAATTTCCGATACATTAAATATGGGGATGGGGGAGGAGCTTTGAAACAATGGCAAAGTGTCACCCATTGAGGCAGAGTTACTACCTTGGAGAGACAATATCCAGGGCGCGGTGGGACAAGTTGAATGGCTGCGGCATCAATCTTCTCCTCAATTTGACGACACTTCGCGCGCGCTTGGGCGCCATAAAGCAGCCAGAAAGTTCATCGAGATCATTGTGCCTCATCGACATTGTCGCCGCTCTCTTGGGGCCAACACTGTGCAATTGCGCTGTGCAATAAAGAGACGCTGTGAGTTTTGCCACAAGGACTTCTATTCAATTACAGCCCCGAACTGCCAAATTGGCCCCAGTGTCTTCGCCAGTCTCTCCGGAATTCAATTGGGACAATTTCCGCCTTAAATGGCACGCGACACACATTCCACCCCTCAGACGCCGTCCAAGAGAGGCGAAGCAGTCGATTTGAATGCCGAAAAAGGGCGGCAATTCAATTAAGCGCCGCTGATGGGGATCTCATGTCAAACAGCATCCAATTCCCAAGATCAATTAAATCGAACACTGTCGGCTGTGTGTGTTTAATGCGCCGCTTGCGGAGGCGAGCGAGAGATAGAAATCATCTAATTAATGCCATTCTATTCATCTTTGCATGCTGAGGTAGACAACGTGTATTAATTGTTTGGTAAACTCATGACGATTCCCAGAGTTCAGGGCGTCTGGTAATTGTCCATTCGGCATTCCATCGAGGGGCGCACAAGTGCCAGGATATTTGGACGTTTGTCCAAACTTCTCAAGACACTTCTTGAAAAATCCCAGGATTCACTTGATTGTCTAAAAATAATTTATTTCTATGTAAAATTGCGAAATAATCCAAAATTGAATATAATTTTGACAAAATATTTAAATAAATTGAATAATATTTAATTTTTTCAGAAAAATTCAAATTAAATTAGCGAAAAAAGACACAAAATTTGCCACAATTTCAACAAAAAGCTTAAATTCTTGTCCTCTGCTGGCAATTTGTAGTGAAAATAATCAAATATTTCAATTTTTATAAAATATTCAGAAAATAATCAAATATTTCAATATTTTTTGGAATGCTTAATTTCATCAACAGTTTTTAATCGCGAATGATTTTTCCTTTGAAAAATTCCCCAATTTTTTTATCTAAATTAAAAAGCAATTGATAAAGAAAACATGAAAAAGAATTATCATGAGTAAGAAATATGAAATCATCTAAATTTTATCCGAGGATTCATTCACAATAATATTTTGATAACAATTCATAAAAATCCATGGAAAAATTTTTCATTCGCACGTTGAATTAAATTAAAATTAAAACACCACAAATATTTATTGAACATAATTCGTTTTTTTATTAAATCACTCTGGCTGTTCTGAGAAGTACAAATAAAATGCTTTGCTCTAGGATAAATAAAGGATATTCAGAAAATAATATTATGCAAATACGATTGAAATTAATTTTATCAAATTTGATTTTGCAGAACCACCGTTTTTATTTTAAATAAAGCTTCTTATTATGTATTATCTTTTGAATAATGGAATTAATTATGGAATATTCTTTGATATTCCTGATAAAAGCCACATTTTCGTGTATCTCGCAAGTTATCAACCCTTCGAAGTGCCGCAGAATAGTGAAGTGAGCTTTGGCGTGCGAAGGAGCTTCGGGGGCTCGCCAGTCACTCGCAAATAGACACACGTTAATGACTAAGAGCCACAATGAGAGGACTTGTGTCTCCCTAATAAAGCCCGAGGGTGGGAAATTATGGGCACTTCGCAGTGTCGTGTTTGCCCAGGATGAGGCTTCGTGGTGTCGCCAATTGTCACGGAAATAGCTTGTAATTAGTGGGGTGCTTTGCGTGTTCACATGAAGTATAGCGCCAGAGCCTCAATGATTGATGTCCGGTGTTTATTTTTGTGGGCCACAGAGCTTAATTACCTGTTCGGTGTCCTTCCAAATTTGAGACTCCTCGGGCGGTCGCCGCAACTGTCCTTATCGCCTGTCTTCGGCACTCCGGGCGGCACGACTATCCATAGCAGGGGGCGCAGGGGGCGCAGGGGGGGGGGGGTGGGAAAAGCTCTGTCGTAAGCACTCTAGTGGCCCAGGTAAAAAGTCCACTTGATACTTCTTAAGGGCGGGGGCAGAATATCTCTTGTCACAGCACTTGATTGAGAGTTTGGCGCGAGAACTGACTTGCGAAGGAAAGTATTCCGAAATAATCACTGCTGAATTGCTACCGCATAAATCACTCTGTTGCACTGCATTTCCGGGTCAATGTGTGGCGGTCAGTGTCACTCACGCCCACGGGGGTGGAAAACTTGCGCTGGCCACGGCACAGAGTTACATCACGACTTCGCGCTCAGGTGGAAAACCGCAGCACCGCTTTTTGGGGGATGCTTTCTGGGCGCCGGCGGAGTCTCGACTGACTCCACGCTCCGCCGTCACGCGGCTCCCTTCGCCAAACTCTCCACATCTCGTGGCGAAAGTCTCCAAAGAGGGGCGCGATGCGCGCGCAGAGGGGATGCTCCGCCGTCAACCCCTAATCCTCAGCGGCATCGTGTGCCTCTCCCATCAAATTTTGAGCAACATTATTTTTGAGCATGTGATATTCATTCCTTCTCCTCGTGCGGCTACATTTCACTTTTTAGTGCGCCACAATAGCAGGAACAGCCAGCGAGACAAAGAAGACACCATCCGATGGGGAAAAATAATTTATGAGGAGAGCTTCTTGCTCATCATTCTTGCGGCTCTTGGTGGGTGGGTGGAATTGCAGAAAAGTCGACGATGAGATGGAGAATTCCGCAGCAGATGAGAATGAATCCCTTTCAAATTCGCATCGCTCTTCGGGGTGTTTTATAAGTACAAAACCCGATATATAGCAAATGTTATTCAGCGCTTCATGCGAAACTCCAACACACAAATATATTGTTTGTGTGTTACTTTGAAGTCATTAAAATAGTACATATTTTGACTAAGTTTCATGCGAAAATTCGTGCAATTTTCCCGCTTAAAATAAACTCAACAAAAGTCCTCTTTAAAGACTCTTCTTCATCACTTTTGCATCATCCTCATCGACTTGTGTGACAAAAGTAAGCTCTAGATTACTTGCGGAGCTTTTCAATGTTTTTACGTCTCACGGAGAGAGAGAAAAAAAAGTCTCTTCACTCGCCGACAACATAATGCAATTGTATTTTCTCTCCCTCTTCCATTTTCATTCATTCGATATTACTTGTTACGCCCAGCAAAAAGCTCTTTTCCACTTCTGTCGCCAGAAGAGCTCTCGATGACATTCTTCCTCCTCATTTGCAAGAGTGCCATCAAAGCTCCCCCGTGCTTTGTCAGACTCTCTGAGTTGCAATTATTGTGGCACTTTTTCCAAACCCACGCACTCAAATGGATAATGCGTTTTCTCAAAGAGAGAGAGAGAAAAGCCGCCACAAATCATTTGCATCACTGAAATTGTGCTTTCACATTTTGTAAAATTGATGTAAAATGTTAAAACTGTCTCAGAGAAATACTCATAATTAACTCTCTGAAATTAATTACAAGCTCATGATTGCATTTTGATGATAGAAATACTTTTATTAATATTTCTCAGGGAATTTCCCACAAGTAAAATGCCATTTCAGTGCATTTTCCAGCATAGAAAAACCACAGGAAATTCCCTCTCTTTTTTCCTACCCCTCAATGCTGAACAGTCCACAAAGGGAAGCTTGAGGGTATTCGGATTCCATTGAGCTATAAATGATGCTGAGCAGCTAATTATTTCTTGGCCCTTTTGCAAAGTTACACTTGACTGTGAGTGAGAGTGAATTTATTGTATTTCACTGTGGATTTATTAATTAAATCCACTGCAGAGCTTCCAAGTTTTCCCTGAAAAATCCACGCGTTATATATCGTGCAAGAAAAGCTCCGTTGGTGGGTTTGGGAAAATATATTGCACAGGGTGGGTTTTCGCCATTGAGCGAACGACCGCAGAAGGTGATCCCGAATTTATGTACATGCTCTCTTGCTCCAATTAATTTCCCACTGCATTTTTCCAAGCAATGTGCAGCTCGCGATGGACGAACAAAAAAATGATAATGAAGCTCCGCAGGACCAATGAAGCACCCATAAAGTTAAATTATCTGGAAATTGTGCAATTGTGCACCCTTTTTTTTTCACTGCAGCTCACCATATAATTATTATACTTCTCACTCCAAACGTCGTGTGCGAGCATGTGGAATGTGCCAGGGCATTCATCTCAATTCGGGGAAGATGCGATGGCGCATTGTGTGGAATTTTATGAAACGAAACGCTATTAGCCACTCTCCACGCACTCTCCAGACGATGTAGCGACGACAATAGGAGCCAATTTTCACCTATTCAACGCCATCGTGCCACCTAATGGCCATCCACATTGTGCATCTCGCCCAGGACAGGTATTTGTGAGTACGTATTAATTGATGGTGCGCGCTTAATTGCTTTTTAATTACTCCATGGACTCCATTAGAGAGCTTTTCGGTTCCATGTGTGTGTGTGTGTGCAGAAGATGCTTCGTTGCACCTTCGTCGCCACCCCCCAAAGCCACCCCATTGTGCCATTTAATTTTTCCCCCAAGCCATGGAAAGTTCAGCACTTGCCAATTATTGCGTATTAATTCGATTAATTGAGAATGAAAGTACAAATTGAATTATATACTTTCCTCACTCACACCCCCAAAAGCTCCTTCTCCTTCGGCTTCCCAAATTTCGTATGCATAGCGACAAGATGGGCTTCTTTGAGCACCCAATTTCCACCACACAGAATTAGTAGAAACTTCATGAGTCAATTTAGAGCAAAGTTTCTAATACTTTGCACCACTATTTATGGAAATTGTGTCCAAGAGAAGCAAAAGCAGAGTTCAGCATGTCAAAGAGGAGCTTTTGAATGTCAATTCTAGCGATTAACAAGAAAATTCTAACTCTGCAACTGGACTTTTCTTACACAATTGTACCCACTTTATCAACTGCCACACTGAAAGAGTGAAAAGTTTTGGGAAAAGGCAAATGATAAATCGCTATCAATTTCACAAGGGATTCTGTAAATTCCATTGTGAATAAGTGACGATTTTCCAGGAGAATTTCTATCACTATAATTCTTTGAATTGAAGCGACAATTTTATGTTAAAAATTCAATTTTCCCATCAAATATTCCATTTGCGCAATATTGTAACCAAGTATTAAATATTTAGTGGTATTTTTAGAATTGGAGTTTTGATTCTACAAGAATTACGTTTGTGTTGTTCAGTGTTCAATGTCAAATCTGTCATATTAAGCTCACAGAATAAATTTTCCAAGAAAAACTCGATAAATCAAGGAGGAAATATTGATCAAAAGTGGTCTTAGTGTTCAAAAATCTATAAAAATCCTTTCTTGAGTACTTTTTATTGCCAAATCGTCGCGATTCTTGGGATTTCTCTTACTTTATACGTAGAAACAATCATAATAATTGTTTTTCTAGGTTATGTAAAGAACCAAAAACCAAGATTTAGTGAGTAATTCGTATTCTACCACATCAATTCTTACATTCTTTGACAGAATTAAGCATTTGCATCCAATAAACATTGCTTTTCTGGACTTTTGATGCTGAAAAACACAACAAATTGCGATAATGTCGAACATAACCTCAAAAATAGTCAGTCTGACTTGGATAATGTCAATTTAGACAACTTTCTGGACGATTTTGACTCTGAATCAGTAGTTTTGAGTTCATTGGCAAATTATAAACGATGATTTTGTGTGTTAGAAAGCTTTCAAACAGAGTTTTAAAGATTTTCTAGTGATATTTTTAGGTTATGGGTAACAAAATATACCCAAAAAAGGGATTTTAAGGTTAAACAGTCTAAAAATTTCAAGTTCAAGACTGTTTGAATATTATTTCGCACTCCGAATCACTCTTCCAAGTCGCCCCGCTCTCCTGTATTGCGGAGCAGAAGAACTAATTGGAGCGCATTGGAGAAGTTGAGTGTGGTGCAGATGCAATAGTGTAAAATTACTCTCGATGCTATCCAAACTTCTTATGGGCTCAGACACCTGTAAAATTACCTGTTCCTGCATATCTAGATTTTTTGCTCGCTCTCTTCATGCGCTCTCGTCCTGTAATGAAAAGGTTTGCGCTTTCCTTCAGCATGTCCTGACGATGGCGGGAAGTGGCGGAGCGATACAGGGTGTTTCGCTGTGATTGTGAGGAGCAAATTGTGTGAGATAAAATTTAATAAATATTCCGTGGTGGAAAAAGCTCAGAGGGAATTTCTCCCAATATTGTTACTGAGGGAGAAGAAGAAGCTGCTCATCAATTCGTGTGGCATTCCTGAAATATAGGAGGAGGGTGGAAATCCTTGTAATGGAAATCCTCTCCATCTCACCGACCCGCCAAGGAAATTCTGATGCACGACAGCTTCTCATAACTGTGCACTGAAGCGAGAGCTTCTGCTTGTTCGTCAGAAAGCTTCAAGTGCGAAGGAGTCTGCAGTGTTGCTCACGGACTAAAAATACATATTCCTAAGCAGACACACACACACACACTGGGGCTCGAGGAGGTCCTCGGGAAAATGAGTTTCTCAAGATCATCGCAGTTGGGCGAGAGAAAGAGAGCGAAGACTGTTGAGAATTTTCCTTCGTGTCGTGGCGAAAAAGACAAGGAGTAGATCATTAAAACAATTGGATTTCTTCTACTTGCATGCGGATAAAATCAAAATTCAATTAAGCGGCAAAGTGGGTGGATTGCCACCCAATCGCCGATTCTGGGCACGTAGCCGGGATGTGTGTCATGGTGTTGGGCGAAGCCATCCGAGTGGAATTTGGCCCTTCTTGTAATTGGCGACAAATTCTGATTGTACAACACAGAGAGGCTGCTCCGCAGGGGGGATAAATAATTGAGTGGATACACGCATTTGGGGCGCCCAAGATGTCACAAATCGAAGCCACCCACACCCCAACGCCGAGGGGGGGGTGGAAAAGGGGTGGCTTGTTGACGCACCGCACCAACTGAAAAATCTATTTCCGCTTCCCGGGCAAAACTTTCCTCTGCTCGCCGGGAAGAATTTACATAATAGCATTTTCATAAGTTGTCAAAATCATTTCCGCAGCAGTCGCACCGATTTTCCCACACTATATTGTTGTGAATTTGATTTGGTCAAGCAATAGAATAAACTTTCGCCACACAACAGCGAAGGAAGGAATTTCCTCATTGCCTTTTCCCCGCACTCTCCGTGTCACATGGGACAAATCGCAACTCTCGCTCCTCTTTTCACATCCTGAACTCTCTCCCAAAGAAGTCCCTTTTGTGCTTACCGGACACCCAAGGGGGAGATATTCCAATAGATCTTCAATATTATATCAGAAAACATGCTAAAATTTCAGCACGACT